AAAAAAAAAAAAAAAAGATTTGCTGAACATTTGTCAGTCATTTGAGGTGACAATAACCTAGTGAAAGAACCACCTCAATTTATAACCAAGGGAAACTACAGATTATATATCTCGTCTAGACACATCACCTTGTTTAATAACCCTGTAGGTGATTTAAAATACAAAAAAAAGGCTTGCTCCTCACAAAACTGATGAGAAAAAAGTAAAACGGAAAGAAGACTGAGCAAAATTTTTTACCTGCTAATTAGCATGGCAAAAATAATGGCATACCAACCATATTTGAGAACTTTTCGTGCATTACCATCTTTTGAGGCAATCCATATACAAATAATTGCACAAAAAACCCATACCAGTAATATAACAACAGTGATTGATATGTGTGAGTGTAATTTAAGCACTAATGAGCCAAAGCAAATCTATAAGAAAAAAAAAGATGAAGTAAAAGACAATAAAATTAAACGAAATAAGATAGGACGAAATAAAACAAATAATTAAATGATTGATAATAATATTAGTAGTAATAGTGGTAATAATAATAACAATAACAATGATAATAATAATAAAAATAATAACAATAATAATAATAATAAATGATAACAATAATAATAAGTGAAATTCATCAAAAGTTTATAACTCAGCAGCGGTGATAGTTTCCCAAATTTCCGCGCGGGAATGAGTTCACTTAATGTTTTATTTTGCTGTCTCATTCATGGGCACAGCTACAAAACAAATATTGAAATAATGTAATGTTTACTGTTCACCAACAATTGAGGTTTCATACAGTCGTGTTTATGTATGTAATTTTTAACGAACTATCTAAGTTAGCAGAAATTTCATACGCTAGTCTGTAATTTTCTTCCACTAAGACCCGTGTCATTTCCACCTCTGAATAGACTCCAACGACCGGACTTTTATTAGCTTGACACAAGTGGAAGTAATTGTAAAAACACAAAAAAAACTTGGTTGATCGCCATCAACAAATACGTCAGAAATAATAATAACTTTTGCTTATATATAAAAATTAGCATAAAAAGTTACGGTTTTTGGAAAGGTATCAAAACTTCTGTTGTCGCATACACAACAATTTTTTTACATTAAGATACTGTATTATTCTTACTTAAAAGGATC